GAGCAAGACTCTGTCTCAAAAAAAAAACAAAAAACAAAAAACCCTGCTTCCAACAACTAGGGAATGCATGTTACTTTCAAGCATACGTGAAAAATTTGACTATGTATTAGACTAAGAATCAAGTATCAACATATTTCAAAGAATTACATTCATACAGAACAATTCTCTGACTATGACAAAATTAAATAACAACGAAACCCTTACATATTTGCAAACACATTTCTTAGTAGATCATGGAATGAAGAAAAATCATTATGGATATTAAAAAACATTTTAAAGTAAACAACAGTGGAAATACAATACTGCACATCAAACTTTATAGGATGCCACTAATCCGTTCAAAAGGAAATACATGGCTTTAAGTGCTCATATTTTAAAAAATAAATTTGAAATTTGATGATCTAAATACCCAATTTAGGAAGTTAAAAAGAACTAAATAAACTCAAAAATAATTAAACAGTAGAGACAAAGGCAGAAATTAATGAAACAGAAAATGAAGATTTAATAAGGAGAAGAGTAACAAAACCAAAACTTAGTTCTTTGAAAAGTTCTGGAAAAATTTGTTTGAAGAGTAAACAATGTAAGTAAAGAATATGAAGAATGAAAAAGAGATATATTTTTATAGATGTTGCAGAGATTAAAAAAGATCAGAACATTATGATCAATTTTGTATTTCAAACAAGGGAAAACTGAGGTAAAGTGAACAAATTCCTAGGAAAATAGAACATGCTAAAACTGACTTGGGAAGAAATAGAAACCCTAAATGGTCCTAAAATCATTAAAAATAAATAAAATGAATAGAACATTTGGTATTTGGTAGTATTTGGTTTTGCAAATGAGTTCTACCAAACATCAAAGAACAGAGATCATGGTAGTCCTGTACAAATAAGAAAGAGAGGGGCAACTCCCCTATTCATTTTATAAGGGCAGTATAATATAGATTCAAAAATGAGTATGAAAAAGGAAATTACAATCTAATCAGAAACATAAACGTAGTTACAGAAATGCCAAAGTATTAGAAAATACAACCCAGCAATATTTTTAAAAGAAAACTATACTCTCTCATGACCAAATTAGATTTATACAGAAATAGAAGGTAGCTTTAGTATTAAGGAATGTTAGTGATGTAATTCAACTCATCAACAGATTAAAGAAGAAAAGAACCTTATTATTATATCAATAGAAGAAGAAAAAACATGGGCTAAGTTTTGGCATCGATTCATAATTTGAAACACAAAACAAACAAAATCCCTTATGACTTTATTAGTAGAAGGAAACTTCCTTAACCTGAGGAAATATTAATGAAACATTTCTAAAATAGGGACCAGGGCTGGCCTTCACATTCCTATTCAACATTTTACTGGAAGTCAATGCAGTAAGACAAGAAAAAGTTTTTTAAAAAATGGGAGTACAAAACTGTTATTATTCACAGTTGATAACCATCATCTATGTAGACACCAAAACGTATCTACAGACAAGTCATTGTCATGGATAAGGGCTGAGCAGCATGGCCAGACATGAAATGGATGTACATTGCCACCTTCTGAAAAGTACCACTTATATTAATAATAACAGTTAGAAAGTTAAACATTGAAAAAGACCTAATAAATGTCTTTTAATCATTATATACTTTCTTCATAGAAATGAAGAAAGTTAGAGTAGTACCTAGGCCCCTTGTGATTTTTCTGTTGGAAGTGGTATCCTTTTGTAGATTACATTTGCTTACTGTCTATTGCTGATGCACAGAGAATTGAACTCCCTGTGTGCAAATGAATTTTATGTATTGGTCTTATGTTCAATAATCTTGTCATGCCTTCATATTGATTCAAATGCCTTGTAGATTCTGGATGGAAAGATTCAATACTATAAAGATGTTTGGACCAGGTGCAGGGACTCACGCCTGTAATCCCAGCACTTTGGGAGGCTGAGGTGGGAGGATCTCTTGAGCCCCAGGAGTTCAAGACCAGCCTGGGCACTGTAGTAAGACCTTATCTCCAAAAAAATAAAATTAAATAAAAAAGAGAAATTTCAAGCATCTGTAATCCCCAAAGAGTAGTATCTACCCGCTTGGGGTAGGGCGTGCACCCTGCCATCTGCCCACCCCACCCTTCACTGCATCTCGTCTGGGGCCTGCTTCTCCAGCTGATACCACCTGTCTGGCTCCTGTGGGCCCTGAATTGGCCAGCCCTGATCAATATCCCCTTTGTAACCCGGTGTAGTCAACCGACAATAACTTTGTGGACATCTTGCCCAATCAATAAATATCGATCTCTAC